TATGTATATGAACAGGATCTTTAACGATGGAAATCTGAAAACATTGTTTCCTCCTTCCACCACTCCTATTAGTTACTAGCCATTGCACTTAAATTAGACCTGATTTCCCTAACTGTTGGCTAATGATTAACATTTTTTTCCTGTGAAAAAAACTCAGAAGGGTTTTTTACCATCTATTTCACTAGGATGTATTTTTTCAGCTTCTGAAACTTGAGGATTCTCAGTTTCATTTAAATCTTCTTGTTCCATCGAAAGGTCCAGCTCCTCATCTTGGGTCTGATCAGTGGGCAAAGGCTCTGGTTCAAGGTGCAAAATCAGGTTTCCTTTCACCTCTCAATAAAAAAAAAGAGAGACATGTTTCTATTCAAAAATGACTAAAAATAATTTTCTCATAAGATTTAAAGGCCATCATAGATTCTAAGCCTCTTTCAGACTGAGAACTCATTTAAAAATAAAAACTGCCGCAACATACAAGTATATTTTCCCACCAAAATGTTTAAAAGTACTGTTGAAAGTCTACTGAAAATATCTTACTCTTGTCTGCATTGTACATGTCTTCAAAGGCAAATTCTAGCTCTCTCTGCCAGTCTTCTTTCATTTCACTGCGTTTGTATGGCAGCTCAACTAGTTGCGGTGGCATTCGTGCTACGTTCTGTCTCCTACGTGCCAGATCCTCTTGTTGTAGCTGTTTGAGTTCTTTCATTAGTTTCTCTCGATTCTTCAAGAATAAAGAGAATTAATGACAGCTGAGTCACAAACTTTGCCTATTAACACTAATAATGAAGGAAAAGCGGAGAAAATAATGAGGAACAGGGCCTGAGGTCCCCTGCCCTCCACTATTTGTTCTGCCACAAAAAGACATTAATTTATTCATTCAACAAATATTTACTGAATGTTAGATACCCTGCTAGCTGCTAGGCACACAATCTCTGTTCATTATAGCTAGGGCACGAAGGGCAAGGGTGGGTAAGGAAGGAAGTTGGAGAGGTAAAAAGAAGCCAAATACTATTTATAACAGACACTAGCAGGAAATAAGGTTCTAGGCAACAACACGATCTGCAGCAAAAAGGTTAAGTCAGGGGAAAGTAAATTCTCTAATAGTAGCAAGATTACATGGTTTCGACAACAGTTCTCATGTAAGAATTTATTTCTACAATAAGGAGGGAAGAGCATGTATAATAAAGTGTTCATCAAATGATAACATATACACACTACTTATTCTCTTGTAAACTTTTAAATATTTTGTCATTTGGGGATGAATTTTATTGCCATGCCCTTAAAATGAATCAAATTATGAACTAATTTATTCCACTTATATTAAGATTCAAATCATCTCATTACATTAACTTCAAAGTTATTTGAATATGCTATTTTTAGCTCATTGAAATTTTGACATATTATTCTACTTGAATTATTTACACTAACACTAACCACCACTGCCAACATTTACTCTGAGCTAATGAAATTCCAGGCACAATTCTAGACTGCTCTGTTAAACTCATATAATCCTTGCAAAACAGATGATAAAACAGACCTCAGATGGTTAAATGACTTGCCTGAGTTCAAACAGCCAAGTGGTGAAGAAGGGAGGCAACCCAGGATGACTTAGGAGCCCACTTTCTTAACCAACTAAATGTTCCTGCTTTTACAGAGAAACGTGTTCAATTTAAGATTGCTTTTCATGCATTTGTTCCTATAGGCTTAAACCTTAGATAAGGAGAATTACTGATAACAATTCATACATTCAATTATTTTAGTCGTTAATTCACCGTCAGCTTATAAAAGCTAAAAATTTGAAGAGAGGTCATGATTTAGTTCAAACTACACAAATGAACTTCCATAAGATAGGTACTTAATTCCTACCAAATTACTTAAAAACTCATTCTTAAGATGAGGTTTTAAAACACCCAAATACTATTAGTCAAATTCAGAAAATAAAATCAAGACTTCTAACAAAATGAATCATTTTTTTATGCTTAAGTTTTAACAATAAGAACTCCCTGAACAATCAGCATGACAGAAATGAAGCTGTATTTATAACAAGAAAGCTAGTTTTCATTATATTTTGTAGGCCTGTGACAAAGTTACTTTTTCAAAGTTTGATACAAGCAAGGGTGATGACTTTACCTTTGAATCAATACTCTACAAAGCCAACAAGTGTTTTGCTCATTAAGTATTTATTGAATTGAGCCTTCAAATATAAGAAGCACAAATGCAATTCAAATAATTAAATTAGGAAACTGATCCAAACATATTAATTTCTTCTCCGGCTATTTTTGGACCTATTAAAATATTAGATTTTTAATAAATTTACCATTAGCAAGTTGTTTAGAGTACAGTGATATGCTGCAAGTTAGAATAGCTTTACCCAACCTGAAATGTGGAAGAGGAGGGCAAAGAAAACTGAGAAACTTGAAATCATATGAATCAGAAGACCATATTTTAATACCTTCACACTTCTTCACTTTGAGTCCACTCACTGATCAGTTATGCATCGCTACCACAAAGTCTATCAGTAGTGGTCACAGCTAGAATATAATTCTTACTTGAGCCAAATGGATCTTTTTCATTGCGTGAAAACCCCGTACGTGTGCCTTTTCAAACTGTTCCAGTCTCTCTTGTGCTACTTGTTTTTGTAGTTCTTCCAAACGTTTAGCTTCTTCTTCAGCAGCCAAATGAGGATCTGGCTAGCAGTCAATCAATAACATTTTAGACAATTCAAAAAAGAAAGTGTACTGACCCAAAGTCATATCTAAAAAACAAAACAACTTTAAAATCATGTTTTTCTACTTATTATATAAAATTAAATGGTAAGAATTAGATTTTTAAACACTGAGATAAATCAACAGTATGTATCTATGAAAAGGATCAAATTGTTAGTCATACTATAAAAAACTTAGATTGCTAATTTCAAACCAGGTTAGGCTATACTCACCTAAACACATCCCTCCATTTTTTTTATTAAGTAAAAAAATTCCATTAAAATGAAAATGTTAAAAGGTAAAGACCCACAAATCTAGCAGTTAAGAAACCACAAAAATCAAACTTCACATAAATAATTTAGGGAAGTACTGACGTTTGGCTTTGGTTTGCAGACAAAATCTGGGGCTTGGCTTCAGCCTCAGGAAGGCCAAATCACCAAAATATTTACTTTAATATCATTTCTGACTTTCTAGAACTTGTGTGTAAACAATGATTATGCCATTGCATAGTCAGCCATCATATCTCATTAGCATAACAACCCATATGAAACTCACTGCCCTTGAGTCGATTCTGACTCATAACGACCCTATAGGACAGAGTAGAACTGCCCCGTGAAGTTTCCAAGGAGCAGCCTGTGGATTTGAACTGCCGACCTTTTGGTTAGCAGCCAAGCTATTAACCACTGCACCAGGAGGCTACTGTGCAACAACCGTAATACAAAAAAGGGCAGGTAACCTGGATCTACTATTATTATCTAAACATTCACTTTCAAAAATAGGTAAACATTCTAAATGTAACTTGGAGTGAAAATCTCCTTATGTACTTTATATACTGAAATTCTATCAATCAGTTGAAACACCATTAATGATGCCTGTGAAAGCTATTAACTTTAGATGAAAAATTATTTTCATGTAAATAATGAGGTAAATAGGTAAAGAGATTGACAGTTAATATATTAAGAAAGAGTACACTGGCTATACTAACTAGAGAGTAGACAAGAATTATCTTAGGTGAAGGGAAGGACAGCATACAATACAGGGGAAGTCAGCACAACTGGACTAAACCAAAAGCTAAGAAGTTTCCTGAATACAACCAAACACTTCGAGGGACCGAGTAGCAAGGGTGGGGGTCTGGGGACCATGGTTTCGGGGGACATCTAGGTCAATTGGCCTAATAAAGTTTATTAGGAAAATGTTCTGCATCCCACTTTGGTGAGTGGCATCTGGAGTCTTAACAGCTACCGAGCAGCCATCTAAGATGCATCAATTGGTCCCAACCCATCTGGAGCAAAGAAGAATTAAGAACACCAAAGACACAAAGAAAATATTAGCCCAAGAGACAAAAAGGGCCACATAAACCAGAGACTCCACCAGCCTGAGACCAGAAGAACTAGATGGTGCACAGCTACCACCAATGACCACCCTACAGGGAACACAACAGAGAGTCCCTGAGGGAGCAAGAGAAAAGCAGGGTGCAGAACTCAAATTCTAGTAAAAAGACCAGACTTAATGGTCTGACTGAGACTGAAGGAACCCCAGAAGACATGGCCCCGGACACTCTGTTAACCCAGAACTAAAACCATTTCCAAAGCCAACTCTTCAGACAAAGATTAGACTGGACTATAGGACATAAAATGATACTCATGAAGAGTGTGCTTCTTAGGTCAAGTAGATACATAAGACTAAATGGGCAGCTCCTGTCTAGAGTCGAGATGAGAAGGCAGAAAGGGGGAGTGTGCTGTCACATTATAGGGATAGCAACTATGGTCACATAACAATGTATGTATAAATTTCTGTATGAGAAACTAACTTGAGCTGTAAACTTTCACCTAAAGCAAAATTAAAAAAAAAAAAAGTACACAGGCTAAAAAAGTTTATAAAAAAAATATATCCCTTTTGAGTCAATAAACATCTGTGCAAATCTAAATAATACCAGGCAGAATAACAAAGGTTATATTAAATCAAAATTACAATCTTTGTAGAATTATTTGGTATATTAACATGCATAACATTAAATAAAATAACCTTTAAGAATATTTCAATCCATTTAGGTCATGAGGTTTTCAAGAAAAAATCCTTTAGGAATTCCTCACATATTTTGAGGGTGAATTAAAAACAGGATGTCAAATAACATATAACACGTATGATAAATATCTTCAGTCCAGACATAATAAAGGATATGAAGAAAATTAAGTTATAAAAAGTAACATATCCAAAACAAATTTCATTCTTAATGACCAAACTTCAAAACAAAATTTTATAATAATGCTTTAAGGGAAAAAAATCACTTACAGATTTGTGTCAATACAATTAAAATTTTAAACAAAAATCTGGTTGAAATTTTTATAGATTTCATTTTCAATACTTGAAGATAAAAAAACACATGAACTTTGCATAAACTGTGAAGCCCAGGCAAAAAAATTCTTTTTTAGAAAACATGTTTCTGAAAAACTTTTCCATGAATTATAATCTGCGCACAAAATGGCAAGTGATACTATTAAATATGCTACTTCTGCATCTTGTACATCTGGCATTTGGACAGAAGTCTTTTTAAGTTTGATAGCATAGTAAAGTGATGACAAATTTTACTGTTTTGGCTTTACGCATCTACACACATTTCTGGGTCTCACAGCAAACAATACAGTGGGCCTGATTGAAGAAACATTTCTAGAATGAAAAACTCATTTTAAAAAAAGTGGTATACCACTATCATTGACAAAGGAACAAACATAATGAAGCCCATGAGTAATTCAGGAATATCAAGCACACGACGTTTTGTTTAATCGTGTGTAGAAAGTAAAGGTAGCAAAACATAACTTAGAGGATTACTGGCTCTAAATAGGAATATAGCAGGTCATTTTCTTCAGCCAAAGACTTAATGAGGATGTTCAAACAAGACATAACAGCAGCTTTTACATGTTAAAAAGGCCGACTAAACAAATGAAAGTAGTTCATTCGCAGAAAGCTGCTAAGAAATAAATAACCAAACATATATTCCAAGAATGCAAGTATTTCTTACATGGTATATCTATAAAGATCCTATCATTCTAATCAAGGGAAGATGTTTAATTATTGTGCTTATGATATAAGATGAGATACACATGAAAATTCAGAGATAATTTTGTTCTCTAGAAAGCCAAGCACATTGCTCCCTTGTCAAATTTCTAAAACCAAGGTCTAAGGACAGATTTTTCCTAAGTGCTGGTATGAAGCAGCAAATAAAAAGAAAATATTATACATAATAATTCTACGTAAGTGAAGACAATAATCATAAGCCTGTTTCTGAAAATATTTAGAAAGCATGTTCTTCAATCAATATACAAAGCTTTAGTTTGTGGAACTGCTTTTGTAAAACTGCATTACAGCTACTGAGCTAAATCTTCAAGTCCAGATGTTGAAGATGAGATAGGTCTTTTACTTACGATCAAAAAGGAAAGCTAACAGCAATGCAACAACATCAGCAGTAACCTATACCAGTGGAGCTAGCCAAAAAGTCTTTCTTCACCAATCTTAGTTAAAAGGGAATATCTATTTAATATTGCAAAAAATGCTATATAGTAACCACAAGAGGAATTTAGCAACTGACTAAAGCTACTGTTTCTATAATAATATTAAAATTGTAATAATAATTTAAGGTTTAAATAAAAATCTCAGATTTATTCTTGTATCCTAGAAATTTATTCTATGATGGTGATGTTCATCTTAGATCTTGACAGAATACTGATATTAACATTTGCTATTTAGCAGTCAACCAAATTATGCAATTGGTGCATTTTAAACACCATATGAATGCTATATTGAGGAAGTTTATTTTCCTAGTAGCCAAATGTGTCCACAAACATGGAGTAGGGGAGGACATTGTTACAAAAAAAAAAAGAAAAAGCAATTGTAACAACAAAGAGATACATCTCTCACTCTTAAAGACTGTCAATATTTTTTTAAACCATAATATTCTACGCTGGCAAGGGGGTAAGACGGTCATTCTCATGTTACTGATGTTTTTTAGAAGTCAATTTAGTGATCTGTATCAAGATCCTTAGAATATTTACACAGTTGGAAACCAATAATTTCTCTTCCAGCACTCTATTCTAAACAGAGATGTTGCTGTTAGGTGCCGTCAAATTGATAAAATGCACAAGATTATCATGTTAACATTATTTACAGAAGGAAAAAATGGAATAGGAGAATGGTTAAATAAATTCTATGATGAAATATTAAGCAGTTATTAAAAATTATGTTTATAAAGAACATGTAAGAAATAAGAAACTGATCCAAAAATTATGAAATGAAAAAGTAATTTTTCAAAACAGTATAATCCCAGTTTTTTGGAAAGTGTGTATACATGTTTACACATAAATAAAGACTATAAGGAATGCATTAAAATATTAACCATTA